CTATTTTAACTAAACATACAAAGAACCACCACCTCCATATCAACAGCAGCAATGTTTTCGTACTGCAGGTTCATTGGCTTCGCCATTAACAAAAATCTTCAGCAATCCGCAGTTAGGGTTCATGTCTATCCCTCTAACTTCTTTTCCTCTCTACCCGCACATCCTAATCACAAGGTAAAAGCAAAAACCACAACTTATTAACAGGATTCTATTAAATCTGTTTGTTAATAATTAATCGATATGCAGGATTCGAATTTGGTTGATGATATCAGGCCAACCGGATCGGAATCGGGATCGGGATCGGAAACTGGTGCAGATGATCGTGTAAACGTTGTGAGATCAACTGCAACTCCGTCATCTTCTACCTCTGAAAGAAGGGAGAACAAGAGTTTCGTGGCGGAGACGGCGAAGCAAGGAGTTGCGAAAGCTTTGGAAACGGGATTGGAAATCGGAGAAATGGCTAAAAAGACATTGGATAATATGTGGGATATTACGAAGGATACTACTAATATGGTGAAGGAGGCGGTGACCAGCGACCCGGAGGAGAAAAATGATGTTCCGCCAACCGATCGATTTGTTGATGATCTGAGGAAACGCGCCGACGGTTATGATTTGAAGAAGAAAGGTTAAGTGGGGAAGTAGTAGTAGGTTCATAGTAGAGGGGTGTTATATGTAAATTGTTTTCAAAAGTTACACTTCTGCCCCTTTAAATTTAATTATGTTTGTTTCGAACCCACAGTCTTCTTTATCAATTATTTTAAAAAAATTATCAATTACTATTTTAAAAAATTCACTTATTTTAAAAAGTGACGAATATAACTTTACTTATAAACTATTTTAAACTATTTATACTTCTATCTATATTCGAGACTATCTATATTTCAAGACTTAAACCTTCGATTTCATTAAGCAAAAGACTGGGTCTCCGGGGTGTTATTAGAATATAAGCTTTTTCATATTTAGTAACATTTAAAAAGTTTTTTCAAGAGTTTTGAAACAAATTTCTCAATAAACATTTTGTATTTGGTTAACTTAATTTTTTTCTAAAACAAATTTCTCAATAAACATTTTGTAACGCAATGATTACACACTGGACCAAGTATGAAAATTTTTATTGGAAGAAAAGAAGTCTGGATTCTTTTGTTAAAGAAATCGTCTAATATAGTTATTTTGTTAACGGTTATTGTCATGACTCTTGAAATTTCACAAAATATTTGAAATGTTATAATACTTTATAAGGGTATAAATTCAATAATTACGTGTTAATAAAGATAATTAAACCTTTAATTAATGGGTTACCACGTAGAACATAACAATACAATGTTCTAAAAAAACTCGAACAATACAATGTTCTAAAAAAACTCGACTCCGTAATACACATGTCACCAAGCTTTAATAAAATATCGCCTTAAGTTATATATATATATATATATATATATATATATATATATATATATATATATATATAATTGTCGTTTTAAGTTACGATTTACAAATGACATGATTCACCACAACTCAAAAAAACTTGAGGTTTGACATTCCCGTCAAGCCACACCGTACGTTATTTAGAACATTGTAACCTAATTGTAACCTAATAATCATGCACATTCGAATCGCAGGTCTATCCTTTGAATTTCTAATATGAATATTGTGTTCCACACCACTTAGGGTTCAAATTACCACCGAACATTGCTCAATCCATAAGAACCCCGAACCAGCCCAACGATATATAAAATCTATGATTCTCAAAACTATGCCTAGCATAGAGTCGTTCATTCCTTCAACCAATAACTCTTGATTGCTCTCCCCAACGAATTTGATGCTTCAAATCAACAAAATTCCATGTTAACAGCAAACGATCAAATTGCATGAAGTGCTCACAAGTTGACAGACTAAAACAAGGTCAGAGAAATCGTGTCACCCCAACCTGAACATCGACATGATCATAACATACAACCACAACAAAACAAACACACTGGAAACAACGACAAGTGTTGGATTCCACACCATCCTTCCGGTCCAACATAGACAATCATCCTTGATATGATTTAGCTGATTGCCAAGAGAATTATATTCCCTTCTCCTCTTACTTACAGTCCCGACTGTAAGTATCCTCGAACCATATTCGGAATACTTTGAGCTATAGCTTTCACTTTATCCATAGATTTTGTGAGTGTATCAGCCTGTTGTTCAGTAGTTCCCACATGTTGCATGATGACATCTAATTTCTTAACCAGTTCACGTATGAAGTTGTATCTCGTGTCTATATGTTTGCTTCTTCCATGGAACACCAGATTCTTCATCAACTCTAGGGTTGATTTGTTGTCAACATGCAGTACTATATGAAAGAACCTCTTCTCTAAACTTTACAATATTATTACTCCAAACATGCTACATGTATATTCATAATATAATATACAAAAGTCTGGATACAAACCAACTATTAAGATTTTTACAAAGTTTTATATATTACATAACTTCCCAGGAATTTATACACTAAGTACAAAAGTAATAATATTATTTATTCTACATCTTCCAACAGTACATGACTATACTGGATGCTTATCACCTGCAATAGTTAAACACTGAGAGAGATAAGCGGGTGACGCTTAGTGAGTTCAATAACAGTTACAATATAACACTATGTCATATATATATATAT